TGTTTCTCTGACCTCAACATGCTTGCTTCCTATGCTAGCATTGTGATTTTTCAATTTATTTTGCTTGGTTTAAATATAATGTAAATATACTTTGCTATAATTAAAAATATTTTATAAATATTTTGGGAAGAAATACGAATAAAATAAATATTAATGGGAAATGAAAGATCTGTGCCAAAGCGCCAAACAGACCAAGCCCCCTTCCTGTTAACATAAAAAACCACAAAATTTATGTGCTAGACGAAAAGAGACTAAATAACACTGAACATGTACCAGTAAAATGCAAATTCAGGCTGTGAACATTTTGTAGCACAAGGGAGAAACCTCGTAGAACAAGATACATTTACAAAACGTGCAATGTGGGTCTAAGTATGTACCAAAAAGACAAAATATGCTTTGAAAAGTGTCACAAAAAATTTGTTTTTTTGACTTAAAAAAAAGTGAGGGTTTATTTATTTATCTGAATGTCCTTATTGGGCAGGTTCTTGTGTTTTCACTGCTGTAGAAATATTACATAAATGTTAATTTTTAATTTTTTTCTAATGATTTACTTTATAAAATAATGTAAAAAATTTACATGTAATGCAATTCTTACATACATTTTTTTTAAATTCGCAAATTTCTTCATTTATTGGAAATGCGCGCGGAAATAAGTAAGTCCCCCTCCTACTACCTCAGTAAGTTTCAAAGTCCTAGACGTGTGCTGGTTTCACAGTGCGACCACCACCCCACTTGGGCGGCTCTAGGATCATAATATTCAATTTCTAGAGTTTTTTTAGTTAAAAAGTTATAAAAAAATATTGCACTCGTCAAAGGGTTAAAAGATCTAAATTAAATACAAGGTATTGCCTATTGTAATGCTTACTGTCTTAATAATACCTCATTCAAATGCAGCTTGCGAAAGAATTTTTTCCATTATTTAAAAAAAAAAAAAAAAAAAAAAAAAGAGCAGACTGAATTTCAGCCAAATTAAGGTCTTAAAAAACTCTTGAAGTAGTTTTGATTGAAAAAATAAATATGCAGGCAAATGAAGAACTGTGTTATAAAAAAAATTCTCAAACTCAGAACTTAAGCTTGATAAGCATGCTACATATAAAGCTTTGCATTCATTATTTATAAATAAATTATATGAATTTTTTAATAGTTATTAGTCTTTTTTATCTAAATTTTTTAAAATTTTATTTCCATATGGAAATCAAATCCAGAATAAAAATATATAATTTATGAATTCTGATTTTCTTTTCTGTGATTAGTAGTGATTTAAAATACTTGTGTCAATCGTATACTAGTACATTTAGTGGTATATGTACTTGAGGAGTTAAATGAAAATTTCTAAGTAAATGTGTATATAATTTACAAAACGTTTTTAATTATTCAGTTTTATATATATACATATATATGTAAGTAAAAAGTAGAAAAAGGTGTTAAAAACCAAATGATCTAGTAGGTAAAAAATACTGCATTTAGCTGCTGATTTTTAAAATTTGAATTTAAATGAAAAAGGATTTATGAAACCTAGCAAAAGTCGTAAAAATATTTGTATATCTTATCAAATTCTTGAAACTCTGTGTAAAATAAATAACAAATCAAATTTTAAAAATGTGAAAAATCATAACTAACTACATAAAAACTTAAAAAATGTGCACAAAAAATATTAATCTTCCCTGTTTAAAACTTTAAACAGAACTTATCAAGGGAAAAGTGACTGAAGCTTTCAACTAAGTTGATTAACTAAGAGCACGCAAATACGTTTCATCTGGCAAAATCATTAAGACTCCAAACGGTCTTAATTGAGATCCAATTTCTTTTTAAACTAAAACTAACAAAAGTCTCGATAGATTTTACCCTTTTCCCGACATGTTTGCATGTGTTAAATCATTCAGAGTTAAAAAATATAAACAAACAATGTAGTAAAATAACATTAAAAATTAAAAATCAAATACAATTAAAAGAAGCATCAAATACAATGTGGCCTAGTAAGGCTAATGTACAAATAGAAATATTCAGGAGTTTTCAGAAATGAAAATTAAAACCTGAAAGTCATTTAAAAATAAAATTAAGGATAGGACCCAGTGGTGTGAAATAAAAACTTTTTGCAAAGAATAAACCTGCTTAGAGAAGGTCCGTTAAGACTAATAGGAGGAGCTTTTTTTCTCAAAATGTAAAAAGGTGAAACATTAAAGTAAAACGTGAAAACATACCTGTATCTGACCCGAGCTCTTGCTAAAGTTAAACTGAGCTAAAATCGTGCGAGAAAAGGTTGCCATAATGGGATGGAAACTCAAGGAGTGCTACCAGAAATTTAAAACAGTCAATTTCCACCTATTGTAGGACTTGACTAAACAGAAGCAAGTTTTTGTAATCTTGTCGTAGCCAGTGGAGTTGTCCGAAAAAAGGGGAGGAAAAACTGGGGGGATTTGAAGGTTAAGTCAGAGGCAACTAGTGCAAGATGGCATCATTTTTTAAAGTTGTTAGTTCTCTTAGCAAACTAACAAAACACAAAGGGCGAAAATTTGAAGTAAATGCTAAATTGTCCAAAAGTCAGGTGAAATAGAAAAATAGGAGAAAAATGTTAGTAAAAGTTGTCATGTTTCATGCTATCGGGCTCCAGAGTGACTGTGGGAAATTGGAAAGAGGCCCTTACAATTATTAACAGGAAGAGTTGGCCAGTAAACCATAATATTATTTAGTATAAATGTTCTGATCTTACACTGCTCGACATTGAAAATGCTACACCTAAAAGGAATGGTCAGAAAGTGATGAAATTTGGAGAAAAGACAGAGACAGCAAGCAGCAATAAGTGATCTTTATTTCAAAATTATAGTCAGAATATAGAGCAAGAACGGCATCGGCTCAGTAGGATGTAGGACCACCGCGAATAGCGATGCACGAAGAAACACGTCTAGGCATAGAGTCAATAAGAGTGCCGATGGTGTCCTGAGGGATGGCTCTCCTTTCCCTTTCAACCATTTGCCACAGTTCGTCTTTTTGAACGAGGCAGGGGCTGAGTCTGCAAACGTCCAATCACATTCCACACATGTTCGATTGGTGACAGGTCAGTAGAGTACGGTGGCCAGGGAAGCATCTGTATACCTTGCAGAGCATGTTGGCAGATGCGAGCACTGTGTGGTCGGGCGTTATCCTGCTGAAAAATTGCATTAGGCAGCCCTGAAGGTGGGGGATTGCCACAGGCCGCAGTACATTATCCAAGTATCATTGCACTGTGTTCTTGAAGGCCATTTAAAGCTGGTGAAGACAAAGATATTGATTAGAACAGACTGCCAAATAACAACATGAGAAATAGCTAGGAGATTAAATCTATTGAATTTATGATCATGTGAAATGACTTTATTTCATTTTAAAGCTCAGTGTGTGGGATTTATATGTTCTTAAAAGGAGATTTCCTTTTCAAATGTCAAGAAAATAATAACTGATGATGAGAAATGAATTGCTTACAACTATTTCAAATGCTAGCTATATCACCGAGTAGAAGAGGTAAGCCATCTCAAACCCTTTGAAAGCCAGTGTTCAAAAAAAAAAAAAAAAAAAAAAAATGTGGTGCTGTCAATTTGGAGGGGGGGGGGGTTTAGTTTCTACTAGAAAAGTATGCTATAGATTTGAGAGTGTACTGGAACTAATGAGACAAAATGAAATCATCAAACAGAAAAGGTGCTTGACCGTAATAATGCTAGTCACACAAGTTTGGTAGTTACTCTGAAGCTGTAACAGCTTGAATGGGATGTTGCTATCACATTCATCATATGTGCCAGATCTGGCACCCTTAAATTATTACTTGTTCCAATCTTTGCAACATTTTTTAAACAGCAAAATATATCTATGATGAGGATGTCAAAAATAACTTAAATCAGTTTTTTTGTTAACAAAGATCTGAACTTTTGTGAAATTGGATGATGCTACTGCAAGAAAGATGACAAAAGATATTGGAACAAAATTATCAGCATATAATTCAGTAAAATATTGCATATTACAAGAAAATGTTTTTCTATTTCCATGGAAAAAGCTAAGTTTCTTTCCAAATAAACCTTACTACTGCAACACTTTTACTTAATATGCAGGAGATGAAAACAGATTGACCTGCGAATTTCTGTTGAATACTTGAATTCTTTTTTAAATTATAGAAAGCTGAGTATTCAGCTGGTGAAAAATTGAATGCAGTTAACTATCATAGTGTATCTAAAACGATTAAGAGTGCTTTTTCCGTCGGCTAGTCGTGTGCATAATAAGATGTGGTTTTTATAAGCTGGTGTAAACTTTGAAATGTTTTGTTACTTTGTAAAAGTGAGGTTTTTTTTTTTTTTTTTTTTTTTTAAATCTGAAAATATCAATATAACTTTTGAAATTAAAGTGAGGGAAACTTTTATCTATTTAATGTGAGGGAAACGTGTACATATTATATTACGTATGGTGCATAATTTGCTGTGCATAATTGCATATGAGTTAAATTGCTGGATATTTAGCCAGATAGTTATATCTAGTTGTTGGTGAATTCAGGATATAGGCTGGATTTCCGATGTTTGCCAGATATCCATTCCATCCGTAATATTTATCATTATAAATCTGTGGCAATGGATTGTTCAGATATCTTCGTCATAAAAATGATGTATAACCACAGTCTAATTTGAATAATAGTAAATTTAATATGAAATTGCTACCTTAATCACTACTCTTTTTCCAGATAGAATTATTTCTTGGAAATAGATTTTGTAATTTTTGGAGTCTTCTTATTTATGATAACAACATGCTTTTCAAATGTTTTGAAATTTTGTCCTTGTTACGGGAACAGTATACATTTGAAAGATTTTTTAAAGTTACATTACTTATAAAAAATTATTTTTGAGTGTTTTGAAAGTTTTTTTTTTTAAATTAATATTTTGCCTTCCTTACCATTAAGGTAATATTCATGTCATTTGTGTTTTCAACTTCTGTTTGAATAAAAACTTTCACTGTTATTAGTTCTTCATAATCTGAATCAATTTTAGGTTCTTGGCTCTCAAGCTGATGGAGAAATAACTGCTGGAACACATCAAGTCAATGGCCAGACTGTTACACCTGTTAGTATTGATCTGAATGGTGAAGCAGGAGCTCAGGCAGTTGCAACATTAGCTGAAGCAACTATAAATCCTGATGGACAAATCATTCTTACTGGAGAAGATGGCACACAGAGTGGTATGTAAAATTTATGAAAATGTTTATGCTTTATTTCAAGAATGAGGAAAACATAAGCTATTTACCTAATGTCAGTCTTAAATCAATAAATATCCAATTTTTAAAACATATAATATGTTTAAAATTTTGTTTGGCATAGCTGAATACTGTGAAGCACATGATGACCATCTGTTTAAGTGAAATGTTGTCTGCCTGGAAAATTTTCTGAGAGAAAAATGGATCGAATTTACATTACGCAAAGTTGTCAAAATACCCATTCACTACCACCAGCCTGTTTGCTGGTCTTGTGTAATTGGCCCTGATGGGTTAGTAAGATATTGTTAACTTATCATATCAGCTGAACGGATGACAGTTATAGGTTGAAATATGCAAAGGAATCTACACAAGATATGCATAATAAAATTGGATATCTGAATAAAGAAAAATATCAGAAAGTGTTGAAAAGGCTGAACCTAATGTGATGAATGTAAACAAGAGTGCCACACTCCTTTAGACTGTAAAGCAGTGCTTTAAAAACAAGAAGGAAATAGGGCTTCTCTTTCTATTTTCTACCTCTGTGATTTTAAAATTATCTGAATTTAGATCTTATATTAAGGCTTTTGAAAAATGTTGAGGGATATGTTATAAACTTTGATGAAAAATTCTTAAAAAAAGCCAAGAACTTTGTTGTCATAAGTTAAAATATTGACTAGGGGCTAACAAAAAATAAAATATATCTTCTCTTCACCTCTTGGTAAATGCAGACTTCTCCATGGTTTGATGCTTACTGCTTAGTTACCAAAGCATGGATATCTCAGTAACCCGTTGCAAATCTTTTAGCGTAATTTAAATCATACAGATTTCATCTCCTGAGTGACTCTCAGCATAATCTTTGTGAATTTTTTTTTTTTTTTTTTTTTTTTATCATCTGAGCTGAAGATTTGTACTATGAAGACTTAACATATGAGAGTTATATTTAATTTTGCTTCAAATCTATAGATGTTATTTTAATTTTTATCCACATTAAATGTTATTTTCACTGTGTTCAGAAATACTTGGCTAAATACAAGTTTTTCTTTCTGACTGAAGATTTCATCAGTATTGAGTTGTAAGTTTAATTGTAGGTATTACATTAATGCATACGTTAAAATTAGATCTTGTATAATTTGGCAATCAATGTTCTTTGAGCATGTAAATTTCTGCAAATTAAAAACATAGAAATAAAATATAGAATATCACTTTATTAAGAGGATTTTTTTGGAATATTCTAATGTATAATTTTGTTCCTTAGCTTTTCCAGTCTCTGGTATGGTGTCAATACCTGTTTCTATGTATCAAACTGTAGTAGCCAACATAAGCCAGCTCACAGATGCACATGGCATTCAAGTTGCCATGGCACCCATAGTCACAGAATCTAATTCAGAGTCCCCAGTTAATGTTACCTCGACCACAGATAATGTCAATGTTTTGACTGCAGTCACATCATCATCAGCACAAGTCTCAGAACAGAGTTAATACCTCAGTGCTCATTGATTGATCATGAATATTCATTCACCATTAGGTATGCTATATGTATATATTATATCATATTTTAAAAAAATTACCAGAATTTTTGTGTTAATGAAGAGAGTATTTTTCTGTGCATATGTATGTGTGTGTTGCATGAATAACTGTAAATATGGCATACTTGTAATTTAGATGGTTCCTTAAAGCTATTTTTACAAAATTTGATTTAATATTTTTATTTAATACTGAAGAGACGTTTTATGTATATTTTGCAGTTCTAGGGAAAAAGCCCACAGGAAAAATGCTCACAGAATTATGCTCGCAGGAAAAAAGCACACACAGAAATATGCTCACACAGAAAAAAGCTCACATAGATATATACTTACATGCAAATAAGCCCACTGATAAATAAAATAAATACATAGAAATATCCTTATATTAATCAATCAATAATTAATCGATTTGAACATCATACACATACTCAATTTTTAAAAGAAAAATTTTTGATCATTTAAAAAAATTATTGGACTAATGCTCACATAAACGTTTTCAGGGGCAGTGTATAAAAGAAGGAAAACTATAGTGAAGTTTTGCATGTACTATAATATTTTATACTGCTGCCCCTGTACGACATTTTTAATCCTGTAACTGCCAATAGTTAATTTTTGTTTTTTACTCTATTTTTTGCATACTTTCAATGTGTATCTATAAAAATTAATGTTTGAATATAGTTAGTTAAGTTTGGAGCCAAAAATGTTCTAGAAGACCAGTTTCCAATCGAAGTGTGGAATCATTGTGAAGCAGCTTTCAAAAAATCTCGTAAAACCACAAATTGCTACGAAAGCTTTCATAAGGTACTAAATTCATTATTTAATTGTAGCCTCCCAGTATGTGGTTTTTATTTGACGGACTGAAAAAAGATTTAGCCTGTAAGCGTTTATTATTAGCTATTGTAAATACATGCAGTACTAAAGTAAAAAAAAAAAAAAATAAAAAAATAAAAAATAAAAAATAAATAAATAAATAATAAATAAATAAAATAAAATAAAAAAAAGAAAAAGAAAAAAAAAGAAAAAGAAAATTTACCTTTGGTAATCGCGAATCATGTAAGAACTATGATGAAATAGATGGTAAAATTAGATTTTTACATACATTAGCTAATATTCAGCACGTTTATGTATTTATAACTTTTTGAAATATATATTTATGATTTATATATAATGTATTTTACATAATTTAAATGGAATATTTATTTATGTTATTCTTCTAAATGCTTATATTATAAAATGTGTAACTTATATTTACTATTATTTTATTTTTTTAGCAATTAAAATTGTAGTAATTTTTCACTGTATAATTCTGTTTAATTTTCCCTTCTTTCTCTCCTTTTCTTAATTCAAAACGGCCCATTTATTAATCTTATATAGCAACTGAATCTACACATAAGTTATGCAGTTTTTGACATACATATATATATACGTACACCATAGATGTTTTGGTATATATATATTATAGATGGTTTGGTTTGTGTAATTACGGCAAAGCCTCCAGGGCTATCTGCCTAAGGAGAGGGATGCCTTCGTGGAGCACTTTCTAAGAGAAACTGGCTCATATACACGTTACACATGGGGAAAACCATGAAAGAAAACGCCCATGCAGCCAGCCCGTTCGCGGGATTCGAACCTTGGACCGAACTACGAGTGTTCAGCAACTTTACCGCTCGGCCAACTACCATAGATGGTTTTGTGTATATATATATGTATTGTTATGGATTTGGTATTTCAATAGCTAATGTTAGTTGAATTATAAATAAAATTGTTTTATTCCCCGTGCATTGCAGCGTGTGCATTTAACATTTAATAAATAAATATCATTTTCGAGAAAGTTCCAGAAAATTCTCGCGCACGATTTAAAAAGCTTATATAAGCGGCATGAAAACCTCTAAATTCGTAGTTATTTTAGTTACCGTATTTGATGGCATATAAGACGCACCCTTATTTAGAAGGACACACCCGAGGGGAAAAAAGAGCGGACTTTTGAAATTTTTTTAACTAAAAGAAACCACATTTTAAGTTATTATAGTCCGCATGTACCACAATAACTTAAAATGTGGTTTCTTGTAGTTCTCACGTTTCGTAAAAGCCAAATAAATAATCATTGAATGCAATTACCAAACATATTTTTTATTAAGGAAAATTAACAAACGGCAAGCTATTTTGAACATGATATGTAAATTTCAATAATGAATAAATGAATGAACGGCAAGCAATCAAACATAATACAAAATAAAGCAGAAACAACAAAAAACACAGATTCAAGGAAAACCTTGCCTATATCATGAAATTAGACTTTAACCACTTTCAAAACCATAAAAATCCTTTTCACTATCATCATCATCGAAAACGAGAATATCGTCATCACTAGTATCACCTTCTTCGAATAATGTGTCGTCTTCTGTTCCGTCAAGAGCATTACTGATTCTGCACTTCTTAAAGGACTTAACAATTACTTCAGCCTTTATGTCCTCCCATGATCGTTTTACCCACTCACACACTTGTGAAATAGAGGGCTGCTTCATTCTACCTGAGGGTATGAGGGCGTGATGTGGCTCTCCTATCCACTTGTTCCATCGTTTTCGCGCTTTTTTCCTTAAATGGCTTATTCACCGATACAGCTAAAGGCTGCAATTGGCTAGTCAGTCCACCACGGATGACAGCTATCTGGGTTTTTAATTCTCTTGCTTTATTCTTTATGGGTTTTATGGGTGCTAAACTGATCCAAAACCAAAAGTTTCTTAAGGTTAAGGTAAGTCCACCAGATCGCTTCACCCATACGTTATATAACCACAGTTTCATTCCAGCTTCGTCCATCCAGCCTCTCGGATGAAGATAAACAATTACACCCGTTGGAAGTTTTTCTTTCGGATGAGTTTTTCCTTTGAATATGAAAAACGACGGTAGTTTTGTACCATCAGCACAACATGTTAGAACTACCGTATATCGGGTTTTTTTCATGACCTGTGGTTTTTATGGTTATTGATTTAGGCCCTTTAACACTCACAGTCTTGTTGGATGGTACATCAAATAAGAGTGGAATTTCATCCATATTTCTTATTTGACCGAGCTCAAAAGAAGTTTTCTTGCGTGCATTTATAACAAACCTATGAAATGCTAGTATTTTTTCTTCATAATCTTCTGGCATTTTCTGTGCAATAGTTGTTTTTGTGCGCATTGATAAGCCTTGCCTTTTCATGAACCTGTAGCACCAGCCCTCAGACCCTGAAAAGTTCTGATTCCCATCTTTTTCTACAAAACCTTTGGCCTCATTGATTATCATTTTGGTTGAAACACGTATCCCAGATTTCCTGTTATCTTGCACATTTTTATGGCATTTTCAAGTTCAGGCCAAGATGGAGCTGGGCATCGAAGGTTATATATTATGTTTTTGTTTTTTAGCAAAGGTTATATATTATGTTTTTGTTATTTATGTTTTTGTTTTTTAGCAGTCTTTGATTGATCTTTCTGCAGTCGCCAAGTATGTATCATTTTTTCGGTAGGTGGTGGACCGAAATGCCTTGCTGCTGCTCCGTTTCCATGCACTTCTGTTTCCTTGCTGCTGCACTGTTTCCATGTTTAACACTCCTAGTTTATACTGAATTGTATAGCTTAATCTTTTGTTTCCTGTAGTCGTATTTTTTTTTAAACAAATAGTTTTAAGCACTGATACTGACACATTTATACAGAGTAGCACCGATACCGAAACGTGTGTCGGCTGAGTCAAAGAAAGTCCATGTAAAGAAGGAAAGGCTCCATAGATGTAATGTGACCGTCTAATCTGTTCGAACTTCGACATCAGCTTTGAGCTTTGGCGCGTTTTGGCGACAGATATTTCGCGCATGTGCAAAATAATTACGGCAGATGTAGAAAAAGTTATGTGTGTCTAGACCTTTATCCGGGCTAAAAATAGCATTCAGTATTGAAAGTTAACCTGTGTCCTTCACGTATAAGATGCAGGTAACTTTTTAGAGACCAAATTTAGGAAAAAAAGTACGTCTTATATGCTGTCAAATATGGTAGTTTGTTGTTGTTTTAAGAGTTTGCTCTTGTTGACTAGCGAATTCGTGGATTAGCTTTCTTTAGCTGTTTTGAATTAAGTTCTTTTGAACGTTTGAGAAGTTAAAAGATAACTACTGTGAGATATTGAGATACTGTACGAATATCTGAGGAAATTTAAGCATTTTTGTTGTGATAATCATAAATTTTGTTAATTTATCATTGGACTTCATTATTTATTTATCATTGCATTCATTTCATAACAAACCCGTATGCACGCAACAATATATTATAGAGGGTTGTTTGGTATATATATTTAAATAATTTTTCTTTGAACATTCAATCGATGTTCAAATCAATTAATTATTGATTGATTAATGTAAGGATATTTCTATGTATTTTATTTATCAGCGGGCTTATTTCTATGTGAGCATATTTCTGAGTGAGCAATTTTCTATGTGGGCATATATCTGTATGGGCTTTTTTTGTGTGGGCTTTTTTCCTGTGAGCAATTTTCAGGTCACCATTTTTTTGCATGTATCATTGTTAAACAAATAAATGAATCACAGAATCTGCCTGCACCATCAATAGAGCAAAAGAAAATTTTTCAGGTGAAGTTTGTTCTGAATCTTACTGATTTGCAGCAATTTTTCAAAAATTCCTAATTTTTGTATCATTACATTTGCACAGAGCTGTAGCCAGGGTTTACGGCACCAGAGGAATACTGAAAATTTCATGCCCCTTTCCTGTTTGCCAGACATGGAAAATATTTCATAAGGCACCCTCTGAATGTGCTAGTTAACAGATGTCCCCCTTACCCCCTTACCCCCTTCCAGCTTTGCCACTGCATGCGCATTAAAATTTTGGTACTGTTCAGTTATCGGGGCCACATGAAGAAATGTATGTATGTATGTGCCTATGTTTACACACACATACATTCGTACGTACATAAATACATGCATATGTGAACACATTCATATGTACATACATTTCGCAATCTGTAGAAAGGTTCAAAATTTTTGGGTGAGCTATTATAATTAAGTAATTTAGAATGTTCAGCAGCTAATTTTGGATTAACAGAAACACAGTGTTTTTCCAGGGGAAAAGGTGATCAATTGAATCTGATCTATGTCCTCTAGATAATGTTAAATCAGATTTTGATTGCATTCTTGTGCTCCTATTTATTTTGTGATTTTTGTATTTCCCTTTTCTGTAACTTTACTGCTCTAGTGACTGTTGGTTATTATCTGGTTTAATAACTGGGTTGATTTTTACATATTTATAGGGAATTCTGGATTCTATATGTTGGTTTTAAATTTCATTTCTTTCATGACTTTGTGGATTTAGTTCTAAACTTCTTACTCTTTGTCTCTATATATAAACCAATTTTTTAATTTTCTTTAATTTATGTTTTACCAGTTTATTTTGTTACACAGAGAAAATAGGTTTAACTTTCAAATATTTAATACAGCATTTTCGTTTTTGTTCCAATTTTTGAGATTTTGATTTATTTTATGTATATATATATGTGTGTGTGTTTTTATACAAGGTGATTAGCAAATGACTAAAAGATTTGAAAAATTCATAAGGTTTGTTTTCCAGTTTTTTTTTTTTTTTTTTTAAATTTTCTTTTCTTTATAGAGCATCCGTGGTAGGTTAAAATATCTATGTATGATGATGTCCACAACAAGTAAAGCTTACCACATTTTTATGTTAAACTGATTTAAATTAAAAATGATGCATTCTTTTAGTTTTCATTTAAACCTTTTAATTACTGAAGTAATTAAAACTTTCATTGAGGAAATCTCATCTTTTTCAAGATTCACAAGTAGCCGTTTATCAAAAAATTTTACTTATTTATTATTTCTGGTGTTTTGCTGGCTATGTGGAAATTTTTATTGCTTTGTGTGGTGTAATTAAGACGAAACTCGCTTTATAACTTTTATAAGAATATGTTTAATATCAAATGAAAAGCTGTCATCTGCTTTGCTGCAATCAAAATAAGTCTTCCTTTATTTTTGAGTGCCAGTTCGAATTAGAATAATGTGTGATTTGTATATTAATTTATACAAATAATTATTTTTATAAATTATAACCAATAAATTATAAATTATAAAAAATAAATTTTATTGAATAATAAATTTAGATTTAAATTTTTAATATAAATTAAAATATAATTTAGCCTTTTGCTGTATATATTATGTTTTAATCGTTTATTTATTTATTTATTTTTAGTAAGAATGCAATGATGTACATTGAGTCATCTTGCACGTGGTCTTTCTCATGATGTATATATTTGTCGTCTTCACTTTGTACAGAACTTATCTGCCAGATTACTTCAGTATTTGCTGTGTGCATGTAATACATGTTGCAGTACTGTGATTTTAAAAAGATGTAACAATTCTTGTTAAGGTAAGCAGAACCATGCTGCATAAATACTGTAGTTATATTTCTGTGGCATTGAAGGAATTTGAGTCATTTTAAACATAAATACTTATCCAAGGATATGTATGTGGCGTGCAACTGTACATATGTTTAGTTTGAATATATATTATACCTGACTGGTTGATTTTATTTGTTATTGTTTTCCAGAGTTTTCAGAAGTTAAATTGATCTCACATTTTACTAGAATATTGCCCTCTTATCTATCTTTGTTGATGTATTTTAAACTAATAAGTTGAATATGGCAGTTGCATGAATTTTTCTAGTTGTTTTCTTGTAAAAATTAATGGATATGCAATTTTTATATATTTGTTATAAGTGGCTATGAGGGTTTAAAAGTACTTTGTGAATCACAAATTTTTTATTTGTGCAGAATATGATTTTTTAATACACTAAATTTCTTTAACAAATTTTTCATATTGTGTTAAATATATATGATTTTTAATTATCAAAAACTTGGTAAATTTAAGGGAATTTTATGTACATATGGCTGCTTAATGATAGTAATTACTATTAGTTACCCAGTTTTCTTCATTTTGTTATTTTTTATTAAATCATGCTATTATATCTAGCACATCTGTTAGAAAGTAATCCATACATGCTTCTGTTAATCTAAAAATGTACTCAAAAAGTTATTATGAATTTTGCAGTTTTAGTGATTTTTGAATGTTTGTCATTAAAATATGTGTATAAAGTTTAATTGAACTTGCAAGTTTTTTCCCTGCTCTGTATCTTTTTTACAGATTTTGTAGTAAATGAAAATAAGCAAACTCAAATGTAAAAAACAAAAATATTGTTATTGTCTTAAGTTAAGGAAAAAGCAATTTTTGCTCAACTGAGAAAAATAATTAGATATTAAGCATATATGTTGTGAAAAATTTATTTACTTGTAAATTTAAGAGTGTCCCCCCATAACAATTCTGAAGCATATTTTATCCATGAATAAATATCTAATAACAGTGTAATTGACTGAGTGACTAAGACTAGTGTTTTTTATTGCAGCAACTGAAAGTAAACATCTCCATGCATAATATGTACATATGTAATATAAAATATGAATATTGTGTTTTCTTGTGGAACATAGTTTATCACTCAAATTAGAGTGTGATAGGAAGGGGAGAGTGTTTTACGAGATTCTAATGAAAGTAGTCAAACAATAAATTTTCAAATGGATACGTGATTTCCTCCAATTCTAAATATCTGTATTCTTTTTAAGAGAAAAAATTCTTCCTTTACTCTTTTTACCACAGTTTGTTGAAATTTGAAGGTTTTTTTTTTTTTTAATTGGTGATGTAATTTCAAATTTTGTTCATATAATGATAGTCTTGAAAATTGTTTGGAAATTATTACATATAATTTAGATTAGCAGTAAATTTGATTTGAAGTGATCGAATTCTGAGTTTTACAATGCTTTTTTCATATCAAATATCTATAATTTGTATTCATTTAAAAATGTTATTTTGTTTCTTCATCTGTCTTTGAAATATTCATTTTTTCTTTCCTATATCTCTTGATGGCATTTGAAGTTCTTTGCTGTTGAAATATACTATTGCAAACATGTTTAGTTAAGTCAGTAGGAAAACTGAAGTAATGATAATATTTGGATATACATTTTATTTTGAATAAAAAATTCTGTCCATATCTCTGTTCTTTTACATAGAGTCATAATGGTGGTATATGTTTCAAGAAAAATTTTGGCAGCTACAATGATTTAAATGTATAAAATTAAATTTCTGCAGAGGAAAACTTTATTTTTGTTCATCTCAACATCTACAGTTGGTTATTAAAAATATATATTTTTCTGTATTATGCAAGTATCTGCATAATCATAATTTTTATTATATTATGAATAAGTCTTCTGTGGCTGGAGGTGAAGATTATAAATTAAAGATATCGTGTATTAAATGTAACTTATTATAAAGCTCCTGTAATAAAAAAGTTTTAAAAAAAATATTTAAACTATAGATTAAAATTATTTTTTGGAAATACAATTTAAAATAAGGTTTCCTTAGCAGTTTGCACATTTGATTTTTTTTTTCCCTATCTGTAATATGTTAGAGAATGGTTTTATTATTCTTCATTTGCATTAATGGAAACGGTAAATATGTATTTCTATGTTGATAGCAGATACATATATTAGTTACAACTTGATTTATTTGTCTCTGCATCAAATAAAGTTATTTGTTTAGATGTTTGTGTGGAAAACTAAAGAAATTTAATGCACGCATATTAAATGCTTTTTATGAAGAACAATTTTTTAACCATTTTGATTGTATTTTGCTAAAGACAACCATAGACTACAAAGGTTCATTATTTCCTTTCCTATTAATACTTTGTATTGTAAGCTGTTGCAAAATTTCACACTGTTGATTCACATTTCAGGGCAGCATACATGATTTTATTTTATGGCTTAATTTGTAGAATGGCTTAGAATTTCTGCTACTATATTTTATTAATGTGCTGAGTGGAGTCTGATGAGTGGTTAATTAAGATTGTGCAGCTTTCAAGTTCTTTTAAACGGATCCAGTTAATTTAAAGGCATATTTTTTAATGTTTTAAATTTTTATATAGCTTAAATGAAAAATAATTTGAGTATAAAATTTTTCTCTTTTAAGCTCAGTAAAATGTTTGTATCTATTTTATACTTTACAGTTTAAATAAACTGGAAAGTATAAAATATTCTTCTGTGTACAATAACTGTTAATTTTTATGAAGTGAGATTAAATTATTTAAAGTTAGTATGAGCAATTGTTTCTAACCAAATAATTCACTTTACTTCAAAACTTGATATGAAATTCTTCCTTTGCTTGTTATGGGAAACTTTTATAGAAATTTGGTAAAGCTCTGCTAAAGTATGTTGTTAAATTAATTATATAGCATTCAGAGCTATTTATAATTTCATGTACAATACCTTTTTTCCTTGTAAAAGAATAATGCACATGTTAAAACAAAAATTTTCAAGTATACTGAAGTAATGTACATTTTATGAATAATCATATAACTTTGTTGTAGCACATGTTTACTATTTCTTGCACTGCCATTACATTGAACTGTGATTTTATGTTCTGCTTTCCTATAGCTCGTGTTGCAATTTTCCAATAAATAAATAAGAGTGTGTATATTTTGTTTTGGTTATAAATCTCTAGTGTTATAAAAACAACAGAGAGTCTAGTCCTTCCTTTTGTAAATTATATTGTATTATATAATTGTATCTATAGACGTTACATTTGTTATGTATTTTTCATCATGTCATACATATGCATTAAAAATGCTGTTAGCAAATGCAGTCAGTAAATTAGGCTGTTTCATGTGTGAAGGTAGTCGTATTTCATGATGTTTCAAAATTTATGATTTAAATATTCTTTTGCAGTAGAATTATAGACAATTTGGAACTGGAATGATTTCATAAAATAGCCTGAAGAAATGAAATTTTATTTGTATTTGTAATGTATGTTTAATTTTATGGAAGCTAAATTTTTCTATAATTTATAGGTTGGCATATTATATGTAAGTATTTTGTTGATACTACAGTTGTTTTTGTACTGTTATCAATTACTGAAATCTGGAATGTTAATTTAAGGAATAAAATCGAATGGATTTCTTTTTCCTTTGCTCTTAACTAAAAACATTTATAGTATTTTTTATATTTGAAGTATTAATCAAATTCCTTTAATAGCTTATTTGTAAATGTTTTTATGCAGTTATGTGGATTATGAGCTACTCAAGGCTTGCACAATAACCAAATAAACGATCAGAATAGCAAATCTTCCCTTTGTATATAATCATATAATAAACAATTCATTTCCATAAATTAGAGATTTTTTTAATTACCAGCATTATGAATTTAACGTCTCTAACTTCATCTGTATATAATAATCTTACCTCAGTACAAAAATCCTGATTTCCAAGATCTTTGGAAATTTTAAAATTCTAATTTTAGTATTTCACTGGGTTAATTTAATTTACTGTAATATAAATTTGTTTTATGAAAATGAGTTGTGGAGTATAAAGTGCAAAATTTTATTTGCAGCAAATAAATTTTTATATGTATATATATTTAAGTCAAAGTAAACTCTTGGTATTTCAAAGTTCTGACAGGAATGAAATGCTCTTAACACTGTTGAAATTTAATAATAATAATTTTAAAAAGTTAGTGAAATATGCAGTTTTACAGTTTTAGACAAGTTTGAGCATTCCACTCATTGATAATAAGTTTCAGCTGCTATACCTTACGTAACTAAATAAAATGTAAGTACAGAGGTATTTAAAAGTCTCTTTCGATTCTGATCAAATTGAATATTTTCAGAGCTTTTAAGTTCTGGAGAATCACTATAGACAGGCAACCAAAAGAACTTGGAATTTTGTTATAAAAATCAGAACTATATGTTTTAGTTCATTCAGGATCAGATTTATAAATGCTAGATATGCTTAGCATGAATTAATTAACCGTGATAAGTAACTTTCCCATAGGAGCATATTTGGCTTGCAAACTAAGTATGATTTGCAAAATACCATTTAAGCAACTCCTGATAACAAATTTTTCAAAAACTGCACCATAGAATATCTGCCTTTTTTTTTAAACCAAGCTGTTCATTTAAATGTCACATGATTATGCAAAAGCATATGCATTTTCATATAATTCAAAGTAGAGGAATGTTCACTATTTAAAATTTTTAATTTTTATAAAAAATTTATTTAAAATTTATTTATAAAAAATATAATAATTTTCATTTACAAAAGGAATTCCAGTTTTCAAACAAAAGCCAGTAAGTATTAATAGCTGAAATTTCTGATAAATTAATTTTGATTTAAATTGCCACATTCTTGTGTTTGTAATATATTTTGGTTCTGTTTTATGTAAAAGTTAGAATTTTAAGGGCAGAATTTTGAAGAATTTAAGTGCCAACATTCTGTTTTTTTTTTTTTTTTTTCCCCTCTATTCCCTTTGATTAATATTTGGCATACATCATTTAGTTAAAAGTGCAAAATAAAATTAAGTATTGTCTTTTTATTTGTCTGAGTGTACAATCTTTAATTACAGTTTCCTTAAGAAAAACTTGCACAGTAAGGAAAGGGGCCTAGCATGTTTACTCTGTCATTAAATTTTTTGATGTGACTATAGCAATTTTAGTAGATATGAGAAGAAAGAGTTGTGAATTACAAGTGTGTTATAAAAAAAAATTCAATCTACCCAAAAGTTTACTTGCATGAAATTTTTCATTGATCTGCGGTGCAGTCCATGCTAAAATACAAAATATTATTATTCAGTTCTACTGTGCTGTTTTATATATTTTATACATTTGACAATTCAATTTCAAATTTTTGTATTTTCAAAATTTTCATCTGAATAAATATAATGTATGATATACACACAAGAATTAAACAAGTATTCAGGTATTTTTAAGTTTATTTTTCTCTCCTAATTTATAAAGAAAAAAGATTGTGCATTCAGGTAAGGGCATCAAGAAAATGATTATTTTATTCCAAAAAATTTTGAATATTGATCTTTTATATCAGCTTAAAGTTTATTTAATAGGTTTTAATTCAAATTTGAAACAGGATGCAGTATAGTACATATAGAACATGTAACACAAATGTGAATAACAAATTTCAAATATTTGGGATAGTATGTTGTATTATAAGTATTCTATTAGTTGGCTGATAAAAAAAAATTATCAGTTCTGGTGGCTGCAATTGATCCCTTTGCTAGGTAAATGCATGTTTCAACTCGAAAATGTCCAGAGGATGGAAAACATATAGCCGTCCCTAAAAAGGGTTTTTCAAAACCTTGTGTGTCAATTTTTTATGTATTAATTAAGAAATATTGGTACAGCAGAATGTTTTTGCATGTTAGTGATTATATACTTAATGAAAAAAATTTTAATAGTTTTATGCATTGTTATACATCATTGAAAGAACTGTCAGAAAGAAATCTTTCTTAAAGGATCATTGGAAATTTTTTTGTTAAGTCTTCTTGTGAAGTACTTGTAGAGTTATTTTTAATGATTTTAACTGTACATGTTATTGTTTACTGAGAAAAAAAGGTTTATAATAATGTGTATGTATACACATTTGAGCATCATTGTATGCAAGTTGGTAAAATGTCTGAACCAAAAACTGTTTTTCAACACAAATTTCATATTAACATTTATAATTTTTATCATTAATATTTTTGCGATAATGAGTTTTCCTTTCAACAATAATCATTTGATTATGTAAATGTGTACAGTTTGTGTGTGTACTACGAGCTGTAGTCATAAGTTCTTAGTGTATATATTATTAGATTGTGTGAGATATAATTTATGTGAAATTGTTATGAAAAGATAATTTTGTGTATGTAGATTCTAATCAATATCCATCTCATCAAAGAATAAAATAAAAATATTATTGAAATTTTCTCTTGTTCTCTTTTAGATCTAAAAGCCATCTAATAGAAATTACTAATAATGAACTCACATTATAATGACCCTTCTGTTAGCCAAGGGGGGAGAGGCTGTAAATCAGAGGCTCTTTTTGTGGAATGTTCAGAGGTTTACAAATTTTTAGATAGCAGCTTAATTATTAGTTTTTAGGCTTGTGGTTGGTAGAATGAAATTATTGGATATTATTCAACTCAAGAGAGTTAGACAGGTCATAATACCTTTATGCTTTTCTTAAACTTTCAAGAAAATTGAATTTCAATATGTGTAACACCATTAAAATTGGACCCATGGAAATGTGTTGAAAAAGCAGCTGGGCAACTTTTCTTCTATATGAAATGTTAAAAGATGCCTTTCTTAGAGAAAAGTCTTGCAATTTATATTATTTATGCATTCATTAAAATTTTCATGGTCTGAGTTTGATGGATCTTTTCCTGCTGGTATATTATTCCTGTAATTTTGGAATTTTGTTAATACTCAAAAGATTTCCATCAGTCTGCTTTGTTTTCCCACGAGAATATTGGTTAGGGGTGTGATCTTGGTTTTTGGCTTTCCATCTCCTGATGGATTTCTAATGTTAATTGATATAGGTGCTGGATGCTGAATTTTCTTATTGGTGACTTTCTGGTCTCTTTGGCTATGAGTTGTCTGTTTTCCTCTAAACTGTAATAGCTATTTGGCCAGTATTATTTTTTATGCCGTTCTCAACTCACTTTAATGCTTGGCTGCAATCTTTTCCTTGCTGAACTTAAAGCAGATGTGGTAAAATTGTCATGCCCCAAGTTGCAATACTCCTGATGACCCAGCAACTTTCTACAGGTGCTGTACCCAGAACATTATTTATTTAAAGGCATAATTGTGCTTTCATAAAATTTGCAAATTGTCAGCAGAACATTCCAGTCTTCAACGGCAGTATAAAAGATGATCAATGCTTAATTTTTTAGCCTTTATCACATAGTTTGAAATTTTCTTCCTGCATTTTTAGTTTGGTGTGGGCTTTGTGTTCTTGTATTGAGAGAAATGTTATAATAGTCTGATGAATTGTTAGTCGTGACATTCTTGTATGTTGCATTAAAAAAAGTCAAACCCAACCTGAGCCACACCTAGGTATTTTTTTACCTGAAGTAAAAAGGTAAGGACCTGCACAATCAAATTACTTATATCTGTATATTTTCATATTTAACAAAAGTATACTAAATTATGTTATAAACATTTATAAG